AGTGTGTGTGTGTGTGTGTGTGTGTGTGTGTGTGTGTGTGTGTGGCGGTGGATCGCCAGCAAAGGGTGGAAATACCGGGATCTCTGATCCGGGAAACGGAGCCTTTCCTCTGGCCAACCCTGTCTCGCTCAGCACCAAAGGCTAATCTCAATCACAAGCCAAAAACTAGAGCCAAGAGGTGCCCGCCAGGGGCTCGGGCCTGGCGCCCTGGCCTTCGCCGCCCCGTGCAGACCCCAGGCGGCGTCCGGAGGCACCCCACATCCACGCGCACATGTGCGAGGCTGCCTGCGCCCGGCTCACGTGTGGCCACCCAGACGAGTCGAGGCGAATCGACGCAACTCTTTATAAACCTCCCAAGTAGCCCGACCTCCAGCCGCAGCGCCGACACCTCCCGGCTTCAGAGGCCAAAACACCCCCGAGAAGAGCCAAAGGTTTACCTTGACATTTCCGTCCTCCGCCGGATCGAATCTGCACGTGCATTCAGGGGGGCTCGGCCCCTCCCCCCTCCCGGGGCCTCCCCGCCCCCATCTGACAGCCCAGGGCAAACTGAGTGCTGCCCGGTCCCATCAAACGGCCACAACTTGCGTCCAGCGCCGGCTGGCAAGGGTCTGCGAGCTGCCTCTCACCCCAGTCCCTGACCCTCCTGCTTTCCAGCAAAGGAGACCGAAATGTGGAAGAAATAAAGTTGGAGACGGCTGGGGAAGCCTAACATCCCCAACAGGAAACGCAGCTCGGCTGTAAATTCGCGGGTGCTCTGCACATTCTCAGATTATCACGGATTTCTGACGGGGGGGCAGGAGTGAGGCGCTAGATCTGTTTCCCCCCAAAGAACTGACACCCTGAATCGCTACCTGCACAGCCCGCGGGCGCCCAGAGAACAGGCCGGACCCGGGGCTCCCTGCGCAGCCGCCCGTGCGGCCCAGGCAGTAGCACCCCGAGTCCCGGGGCGTCAGGGCCCCTCCCCCACCGCGCCCCAAAGCCAAGGGAAGAGGAGGCAGGAGGAGAGCTCGGAGGGGGCGCGCGCACACAGACACACGCACACACGAGCCTCTTCTGCAAAGTACACCCCACACTTACCCCGTGCCACATTCCCAGGGCCCACTCATGGCAGCAGCCCCAGAGAAAGCCCTCTTAGGGGTGCGTGCCGGGTTCCTGCCGCCCAGGCAGAGAGACCGCGAGGCGGGCAGTGCGGTCCCCGCGGCTGGGGACGAGGGTACCGGACGCGGCCAGCCCGGGGCCGCCTCGGTGCAGGAGCCGGGGCTCCGGGGCTCCCCGAACGGCGCTCCCCGCGCTGTCGGGCGGGCAGCGGG